TTTTCATACTCCGCCAAAGTAAACAAAAAATTACACATGAATGACGTCAACAGCAATAATATAGGCCTACACCGGACTTCGAATTTGGGAGCTAGATAGTTTTTGGGAGCTACCGTCACCTGTAGAACCCTGGTTGGTATGAGCACACAATATTTGACTACGAAAAAAAAACATGTACATGTGTACCTTTCATCATGATTAACCGTGAGCAACCTCAATCAACTAGTATGCATTTATGTGCAAAGTATGCATTTATGTGCAACTACTGTCAGCAAGTTTTCCTTTCTGTGTTCTTGGCAGGTGAACGAACGAAACTGTTTATGTCTCAGTTCTATTGCTCTCAAGATATCAAAGGTTTGTTCAAAGCTTCACGAAGATGAGGTGAATCTCTCCACTGGCAATTATGGTGCCGTTCTTGCTGTTAACCAGCCGCGGATGCTAGTGTGTAAACAGCCCAAACCCCTAGGTGATCCTGCCATCGATTATTAGCCACTGATTGGTCTGGTGCTTAGAGCGGTCTGGGATCACTAAAGCCCGGCTTTATTGCGTACTGTCGTTTATGTATATATGTACACGTCATTGTATCCTATGTGGATCACTTGAACTCACAGCTGTAGAAGTAGGTAAAATATCACGGGTAAACATGGGATTACATGGGATAGACTGTATTGGGTTGGTCAATGACCGACACAAAGTAGTATATGAACAAGACTTTACTTACCTAGGTTACCTAGTTCAGCAGGACCCGAGAGTCTCAGGTTAGGGCATTATCTAGAGATTCAGTCAGTCAGTGCCTTAAAGGTCAGTAAGCTGGCGCTTTTGGGTCCAGCAACAACTACTCGATTTTTGTGTAAACATATAGATGTAGATAGCGTTCTACAGATAGTTTATTGTGGTCATCACAATAACATTAGCATACTTTCAAACCAAATCGAAGTTATATTTATTTGAATTTTATGACTAAAACTCCATGACCCTTCCAAGCTTTTTACGGAACTGTTACATAATTAAAGCCTATTACATAAACATACATTACGTGTAGCTAATGTAAACGTATAAGTATGATTTTGTTAACATCCATTTATAATTATCAAGTTCACTTTTCCGATTTTATCTTGTACGTGTTCATCTAATGACCTTATAGTCTCCCAATTTTTACAGAGAACACATAACTTAAATTATAATAATTGCACAACCCCACACGTCACAACCTTATGATCGATGGAAGTCCCCCAGTAGTGCAATTAACAATGCACCACCAAATATTTTTTCTCACCAAATAACAACATTTCTCATTATGGGAAAAGGTGTTAAACCGTAAAATCGAGTCCGGTGAGAGCATGGGAGGCCGTTTCTACCTGAATGACTCGGTTATAAAGTACAGCATCACCTCTGTGCCCCAAGTAGCGTAATTGGAGTGGATGTGGGGCCGGCATCATTGACTGTTGGTAGTTCAATAGATAATGACGCATATAGATCACAAGACTTGTGTGAAGATCACGAGGGTAAGCACAGGGCAGATCGGTGAGAGGTGACGGGGAGGCATTTTTGAAGTATTTTTATAAATTGAGTTGCTAATTTGTAGCAATGATTAAATGTAAGTTATTATCTTTCGATGAGCCATTGTAAGAAAAAAATCATACAACGATAAATCACGTCAAGCTTCTTTTCTTTCTCCTGCACGGTTTCTGGTTAGGGACATCTTACTCCAAATTTCTAGGCATTAACAGAAATTACATGTATGGTCAGTTTAAGTATATTTGCAAGTTGCCTATAAAAAAATCAAGCGTGTCTGTACAACCCTAATAGACTGAAGACCTGATCTCATATGAATACATACATGCACACCATCCTCAATCCTTCTCAAAATCAGTTGCAATGCACCCTTAAATTTCTGCCTTTCCTGTTGTCTGATTGGCCTAGTTCACAAGAACACCAACATGCGGAAAGCATCTGTGCATGTTATATTTAAATCAAGTTGACCCCACGTCAGAGGTCAGGGGTCAACAACTAGCTGACCAATCTCTGACTCTCTCTCTATATATATCTGAGTGAGATATTTGAGGCAGTATCTGCAGACTACATGGATCAGTCCGGCTTTCTGACGAGATAAATCGGCGAGAAGAGCACTATAATTTACACATTCCACCACACGTATATACCTTCATATAACTTGAAAGTCCCTTGTTTTCTGAACATCATGCATGTGGATTTGTTCATTAATGCTTTTTGCTGTATATACACTAGAAAATTAAGGTAAATAGGCAATTTCAAAAGGCTGATTATAGCGTTACGTTTCAACATTTGACAAATACCAAAGGTTTCCAGTCCTGACAAACATCTAAAGCTGGACTCTCAAACTGCCTATTTGCAAGTCGATGAACACTGGCTGTTTAATCAGATTTATTTGAATTGCAAATGGCTCGCTTGAATCAAAGCAATTAATGTATGAATTCAAGGCTTAAAATACCCAGTGAGCCACGATTACCCAGTGTCCACTGATTTTCAAAAAAAATCCCTGTGGTCTCTGGGCTGGCAGAATTTCTCCTGAATAAGTTCAAGACCAGATATACTATTGGTTATTTTTTAAACACACTTATTTTCAGCTTTTGAATGCTTTGTTCCTTCCAATGAACCTACATCTTCCTAAGAAACATGTTTTACATTGCAGGAAATTCAATAATCTGAAAGGTGAAAATAGATAATGAAAACCGGATCGTATACTTGTATAATAGAAAACCTAGAAGACTATAAAGATTCTAAGCTGTACATTGTAGAGAAAGTGTGTTCATCTTTTCATAAAGTTGTAAACGTAATTCAAAGATTTGGTGAATACATCCTGCACGTGTTCTATAATAAGTGGATCATAAATGCCACAGCGGTACAGAAATGCCACATTATGACTGAAAACAAAATGTTTCTTAACAAAAGTCCATTGACACAGAAATACATTTCAAGATACTTGAGTACAAATGGAAAAAAAACCTCAACAGTGAAATTGAAGGATTTTATCACTGCATTTCGATATGTTACAGTTAGATTTCTTTTTGGTTTCGTTAGTTTTCACATCGCGGCTTGCTTCCACAATGAATCACAATTGCATTATCGCTCCCCTTCATATATATACCGGCTAATCGATCCAATGTCTCGCAGCGCGACATGTCCTGCAGTGAAACATCTACTCGGACGTGACCCACAAAATAGGTTTGTTAGAGTGTCAAACCCGCACTCTAATTAGACAAGAGCCCCAAAGGAAGAAGCCTCACCCCAACTCCATCGTATTCATTGCCAAACCTCCCCCATATACAATGACGGATTGGACCCCCAGGGGTGGGGCATAAATCGATGGCATGCCGGCATCTTGCATGAGTCCCCTCAAGCCTGCCAAACCACCACCCCCCCCCCTCCCCAAACCTAGTCCCCACCTTGCCAAAATTCTTCAGGGGTCTGGAAAATGTATTGTCTCTGGCTCTTGGTTCGGAGCTTCCATCCCAAAAAATCAGGATTCTAGATTTTCTTCTCAGATTCAACTAAAGATGATATTCGATATTGATCACCTCTGCTATATACGTCTAATGGATAGGGGTTTGTTACATGAGCGTCTGTCTCTATTTCAACTGCACAAGTTCGACTTCATGTTTGATTTCAATGAAATGAATAAATGGAACACTGACATCAAATGTTTAACATTAAACGTTTGAACGTCCATTAACTGCAGATTACTGTCTGGGAGAATACTTACAAATGGATGGGAAATAAATCGGAATATGGAGGATTTGAACCTATTGGAGGTTGCAGATTGTAATCTTCTTTGTACTATATATTAATTTAAAAAATGATCAAAAACTATATCTTGGGAACCATACAGAACCTATACGTACGCACACATTTACATGTACATGCACAGTACTCAATACATGTATGTTCTGATACAATAATTGACAATATTCGCTGTTTCGTGCAGAGGGTTTCATTATAATAAAGTTAACAATGAACTCACAGTTAACTTTACAAAATATGCATTTTTTCCCTCCTAAATTCTCATATGTGCGTCACTTGTCTAAGACATCAATCCATCAGACAATGCGACGTGATTGAGTACAATACGCCATTGAGTAGCGCTTAATGTTTCCCTGAACAGAAGACCGGTCCTTATAACTTGCTGTGTATACACGCATGTAGTACGAAGAGTATCTCTAATTAGATTTACTGCTGCAGTATTTTTTACGTCTGATGCCATTTATGTGAAAAATATACAGCAATTTCCCGTCACTTTGAACGGGGATGAAAGCAATATTAATTACTAAGCGGCTGTTTAAATATATATACATGTATTATACGTTTTCCCTCAATTCCCCGCAGTTTGTATTTTTTTTAAGTGGCATAGAAGAGTCATTATCTCAGAGTTTTTACATCTATCTACACTGTAATTAATTAGAACGAACTGCTGGCAGAATTGCATTTCAAACAAAACGGGACGAGACATGCATTCATACCCCATTCCACGCCTGAAGCACCAGATTATTTGTTTATTTTAAATGTAAACAAGTGCCACTGAAATATTGACTATGGGGAATAAAATATGCGAAAAGTGACAGGTACACGAAACTATCCTCAAAGTCGTCGTCAAGACGAGGAGCCAAACAGCCTGATGTCTGATGATATTCACACCTGAGGCACCCTAAGCCTCGTCCCATTCCACTCCAACCCCGTCTCTCCCCTTCTGACAGGGACAAGTGGCGCTTAAGTTCGTTGTTTTTTCGCTTGGCCTAGGTCTTGACATCAAGGGCATACAAATTCAGAATCTAAGAGTGGATTTGACTAGAAGCTGCCACTAGTAGAGGATGACCCTTCAGCATTACCACTATTCCAACGAGGGACATTAAATGCACATACATGTACTGCATTTGACACATCAAGTCGTAATACTAATTTATATTGAATAGTTTAACACCTGTTGTTTCTATAACATATTTTGCCCATAAGTGCATTAAACTCACCATTATCCTGTTGGGGGCATTCTTCTGCAACAAGGGTGATTTCACCTGAAGCTGAGAAACAAATACCAAATCAAATTATCCAATGACAATGGTATGAAAACAACTGATATGGGTACATACTAGATGAGTACAGCTCATTATAAAGCGATCTCTCAAAGGATCGGTAGGCCCTTACCAAATACATTTGACAATGTTGATATGATGGTCTCGACGACGAGGCACAATATAGGGGAGATTTGCGTTTAAAACATCTATCGATATGATTTATACAACAATGAGCAAGTCAACGCGTACAGCATAAATAACAATCGAATGAAAAAAGGCAACGGCTTTTTATCTGTCCAAAGCACTGCCGCTGGCATGGTTAGTATAATTTCCTGGGCGACAATTTGCCTTTCATTGAAACAAGTGACGCATTTATATAATAGGCCTCCCAGTGTAGGCAATAGTTAACACCTGAAATAAGTGGCCTACCACCTATATCTGTAGGGATTACAAAACAAATGCAAACATTTCAAAGAATGGTACTTAACATGTGACAGAACACGTCTTTGAACATTCTGGACAAGATTTTACAACTGCAACAACTGTTTTCATTTTATGATTTCGTCATGTTTGTATACCCCCAACAGCTAGGCTTTTCCAGTAATAAACTCAAATTTACACATGATTGTATATGCTAAATTTGACCATTGACGAACAGCCATAATTTACTGCGTGTCTTATCTGGCTGTAGGATTGTGCTGTTCGGCTCAGTTTGCATCTAATAACTCGTTCCAGAATTGTAGGTCAAGAATTTTAGAAAACGGGAGGAAGGGGAAGTGGTCCGACAAAAGGTAACTGGGGCATGCGTGTGTGTGCATCCGCCAGCGGATGTACCACGATTCATACCTGTGAATCGTGAAGAAGTGTTCCTGGGAAAGTAGGGCTTCAAATGGACATAATTGCGCGTTGTGCAAGATGGCCCATTAATTTAATGTCCAGTGAGGGTACAGGTATAATACCTGTACATCATGCACGTTGGCACAGCGGCATTTTGTCTTGTCCCGTAACCTAAAAAAGAGGTTTGAATGACAAGTTGTCAAAACTTTTTAATCTTAAGGATTTTGGGGACTTTTCTTCCCGGGGTCTGAACTATTCATCCGATATTTCTTAAACCATAAAAAATGTAGCACCAAAAACGAGAACTTCTTAAGAATCCTTTCAAACCAGATAATTATAATCAAATGCAGGTATTCAAAAGGGATTAACCACTGGCCTCGAAGCATACCCTCAACTCTCATGAATATGTAAAATGATTCACCTTACGAAAGTATAATTGTAAAGTCAAATGACAAGATTGGTGGAATAATCCAAAAATAAATGACTGTACATATTCAGATGGAAATTATGAAAGGAAGATGTATCTAATACTGGTATGTGTTTGATCACACTCTGTGAGCTGTCAGTTTGTCCTTAGCTATCATATTAATTCCACCAATTACTGTATGAATGGGTGCTCAAGGACGTTAAGGCTGTTTGTATAAGAAACTATCTGTATCTGGTTCTATGATCATAGCGCCGTGTCCACTCCACAGGCTCCACATATTTTCTAATGTTTCTACCTTTGCGTGCCGTGAACATCTGGCTGGTAGAGCGGCATCCATGTGGAATGAAGGACACATAATGCTCACGAACATGTATGTTATGCAGGTGATGCAGCTACTAGGCCAATCATGCCATGCATATAGGTGATCATTTTATTTGTCATCAGCTGTTTCCCAAAATACTCATCTGGGTACATGTCTGGTACATCTGGTACATGTCTTTGCAGAGAGCTTTTCTGGCATAAAGCTCTGCGAACTTGACCTAGCTGGTTAACTGTTAGGATTCCTTACCGGAGGTTCGGGGTTTGGATTCTGCTGTAAGCTGCATGTTGTGTTCTTGAGCAAGCACACATAACTCACATTGTCATTGTCTTCCTGAGACAATGCGCATGTCTTAGGATTTGCAGCAGATAAGCAGCATCACATGCAAAGGTACACACATGCATGTTTCCTACTGAACATTTAGATGCAAGTTTCAAAATGTCGAACCCATCGACAGCAGCGAGGGGTACAATGTCCTTGTACACAGAGCCGACTCAGATAAATAACTTCCTTGTATCTTTTCTTTTAAAGGGCTAATAAGATGATTCTAAGTTTCATCAGACTTTGACCATACGAGCTGTGCCCGGTGAGTACATTTAACGTTCACAATAGAGGTATATAATATAGTACTTCAGGCTTTTCGCTTTGAGTTGTGTTCTCAACATGTTGCAAATGGAGCTGAGAGGTGTAGCCTGAGTCTTATTTAACAGGGTAGTGGTCAAGTTAAAAGTAGTGCGTACTACAGGATGGTGTTTTCTTCAGTTAATTAAGTTATCTAATATATTCAACAAAGAGACAAACAATGACACTCAGATTTCAGAACAAATGCGTAATTTGTTTTAGTCAATCATAATTGGTGACATGCATCTTAGCAAATGTCGGATCGGAAAGTGATATCTCCCTGCTGAGGGAAATTGGAGGAATTGACGGAAATTGACTTTAACAAACAGTGAGTTTACAATCACAAGTGTAGAATGTCAAATATCAAAATACATGCACGTCAGGGGTTGCAAGGAATTAAGCGTATTAACCACGACTCTTGATTGGTCAGTGACATTGCTTTAAGGCATAACCTGTAGTCTATGATTGGTTATTTGAGCAAAGTAAGGAGACAGCCCTCTGGTCACGCCACACGATATCTCATAATTACAGACAAATACGCTCTAGGTATTGTTAGGTGACGTCACCGTGTACGTCACTCTATTCAGCTGTGCGGAAGTAGCCTCTGGGGGGAGAGCCAATTTCTTGATGTTTAATTTCATAACCTTGGGAGGACTGAGGAGACTTTTAACAGCCTCATCCGCTCAAGGGGAAGTCCCGGGAGAAATAGAGAGCCACTGCATGCACGGTCATGTCTGGACAGAGATGGGGGGGGGGGGCACTTACATGTACGGTAGGTGTACCAACAAAGCTCTTGGTGGAGATTGTGTATGTGCTTAGTACATGTACATGTAAGCTTTGTGTTTGTAATCTTATGCAAGACTTCTTACCACAACTACTTCCATGAACACATGAAAAACTATCCTATCTCAGGCTGCCTCTGCCCCTCTTCTTAATAATAAATTGGGCATACATGTGTACATGGCATATACAGCGTGTCCCAATAAACATTGTGCATGAAGAAATCGCTGATTTTCTTAAAAGTTGGGTCAGACTTGTTAATCAAATTTTATAGCATTTTCAAGCCTATTGTTTTGTTTATAATTAGTGAAAAAGTAAGAAAATCCAACAATGCAAACCTGAGATATCTTTGATTTAGTAAGGCTATGTAGTTTTCGACCTGCACAATGTAATTTCAACACTTCGTATTTGCTTGTACATGTGTATATTATACCAATTATTGGGTTATTGCCTGTGTTACGCAGTGCTTGAAATATTGCATAGCCTGTATGTTAAGGGTGTTCACCAATAACATATTAGGTCCATAACATTATTATCAAATCTAATACCACTAATTGGAATGCCTAATATCAGGTGTTCAGTCTTTGACACAGATTTTGAAAGGACAATGAACATGCAATCTTTTTTGACAGCTGAAATGTTTGGCCTATAAGCTTAACTACAGGATTCGACCTGAGCAGGAGGAAAATAATATAGCCTTACAAAATCAACGATATCGCCCTGGTTTGCAATGATGGATTTTCTTGACATTTCCACTAATTCTAAACAAGACCATAGGCTTTAAAATAATATAAAATTTGATTAGCTAATATGACCACCTTTTGAGCAAATCAACGACCCATTCATGCACAATGTTTATTGGGACATGCTGTAGTTATGATAGAAGACACAGAAGTGTCAATGTTAATAGTTCATAAACATATGTCAAAAGTGTTCATGTATCATGGGGAAAAAAGTAGGCAACTACATGTAGTCTTCCAATCATTAAACCTGACAATGGTAACATGATCTGTCACTTTGATCTGTTTTTTAAATACTCTCTTTAAACGGCGACAGCTTTTATATGTGTGACCTTACAGAGATAAGTGTTGGACTGTAACATCCATATACACAGTGTATCCCTTGAGGGTAAAGTAATATATAGGTGAAATATCAACTGTGATGTTGGATAATAGCTTGTTTGACTCTGCAAGGCAATCTCCTCCTTGTGTTCTTATAAAAGAGGGATATCTCTAAAGAGTTCTTGTTTTGAAACGGGCTCTTATCCAGTTCATGTCCCATGACGCATAAGCACACAACAGTTTTGCGGTATTTGGAACGGATGACGGATAAACACGCAGCAACCAAGGCCGGAAATATCGATCTGGAACCTGTTCACTGGGAGTAAGGCCTGAAATATCAGGGTGTGCCACCCACAGATGACGGCCTGAACCCGTCTGGCATCGAGGTTCATGAGAAATAATCCCGCGCATGTGTCCGGTCAATGTCAAAATAATCCCAGTGCAAACAGGTTAAGTAAAGTAAAAATAATAAATATAAAAACAATTAAATAAAAACTAATCTTGAGGAATTGCTATCGAACTTTGCATTAAAGTAACTTTAAATTAAAAAGTTTACAAACACAGAATGAAGACATTATTTTTTTAACAATGTGGTGTACAGGACAGCTTTTTTTCTTTGCATTTTTGGGAATCATCAGCCAGGTATTTCAAACAGTAGACATGCATTTTGCAGACTGTGGAAACATCCTGTAATTCTCCCAACATGCCCAAGGGCAGATCCAGAATACCATTTTTGGGGTAGCAAAAAAATGTTGGTCCCCCCAAAAGGATGTCCAAACAATTACGGCGAGGGGTTCCTGGCCCGCTTCAGGGCCCCACAATTTTGGTGGGGTCTAGATGCTCTGTGATGCGATCTGAGGCAATTTCTGACCACTTTAACAATTTTTTTTAAGGCAAAGATGGTGTTGTCCGCAGTGCCTGCCTTTATTGCAACGTCACTGGGGGGGGGGGGGGGGCATGGCCCAATTGCCCCCCCCCCCCCCCGAATCAGCCCTTGAATTCTCCAAGAAAAGAACGGAAAATGCAATTTGCATAACATGTGTATATATACCTTTAAGAAAAGGATGAAGTTTACAGCAGAGAATCATAGCTGAGCCCTGATTCATTGATCCTGACGAGTCATAGTGACTGAATTTGTTGTCTGTCCTGTCAAATATCAGCAGACTCCTGAAAATGTCAGAATTCACAAATGTGCAATAATTTCATACATGTCTTATGGAACAAACTATAGTACAACTTTTGATACATAACATGGGTAGATTCAAATAATAATACCCAAAAAAACTTGGAAGTTACATAATATGTCACATGCAGTGTAAATGACACTAAATCTTGCTAGATTTTTGGATGGTACATGAAAGGTGGTGACACTACAGTATACCACTTTTTATACACAGGTACAAATGTCATAGATTACATTCATGTACAAAGTGATATCTTTTCAAATAAAAGTAGCCGCTAGACCAAGCAAAAAATAGTTCTGCTTTTGGTTTCCCTACCTACCCTATTCTGACAGCCCCTACCCTAATTTTTTTTATGGGAAAAATTAGAGAGAAAAAACCACCCAAAACCATTACCCTTGACTACACACAGAAGCCTCCAAATGATCGTACCCAAAAAAAAATGGCAACAAAAATTAACATTCCATACCTTCCTACCCTATTTTCGAATGCCATGTAATTGGAAGCAGAACTAGTTTTTTGGCCTTATACACATATATGAACTGTATGTACATGTACATGTACATGTAGTTAAATATAAAAGTAACTGAATCGTGAGTTCGCAATGCAAGAACAAATAGCATAAAGCATCGAAGAGCAAATAAATCAACGCCAGTGCCTTTCTCTGTATTTCTCACCATTCTGACATTTCCCAATTGTTTCTTCTGATTCTCATTGGACCCGGCCACATTTAACTAGAATGCAAGAACGGAAAAGTGTGCTTTGCTTAACTCTGATTAAATTCTTTTTCCTTGTTGAGAAATATTGTCAGTCATCCTTGCTCTGCACAAATTGAGTTAGAGCGTGAGCGAACCACACTGTGTAATGAATGTTTCGCTGCACATGAGCCGTGGTTATCCAACAGTACAGAACAAGGCACTTCCTTCGGATTGTCTAACTCCTGCTTTGCTCCACTCCCGATCAATTTTTGTTTCCATGGGAACAGAGACAATATGCTGAATTGATCAAAACATGAAGATTATTTTCTTATTTACATTATGTATTGATTTTGCCATATTTATCCTAACATGATCAGATTAGCTCACTCAACCTTTTTACTGTAAGGTGTACAGATGCAACAGTGGCAGTGTGGGGGGTTGGGGGTGCAACATGATATCAGTAAAATGGCGCCAAAAATAATAAATGGAATGCTTAAGTTCCTATAACTATTAAATGTGTTCTCAAATTACCTCAGAGTGCAGAGGTAAACATCATAGATTTAGCAATGTCTGGAGAACATGCCCTGGGACAACCCCCCCCCCCCCCCAAGCGGGTAGCACCTTTGACACACCTTCATTCAACCACTCCCCCCCCCCCACCCTTCTTTTCATGGAAGTTAGATCTACCTCTGTGTATACTAGGTTACTAAAGAACATACATGTACATGTACATTCAAAGTGATTGTGCTCATTCATTTTTCTAGGCCCTTCTTTTGTCTCATTATACTCTCTGAAGTCATGTAATTTTAAGCTTACCAATGGGATCCACCTGCTGAGTCTTGGCAATGATGGTCATTGACTGCCAAAAACACAAAGTCTTTACTGGATAGATCTAGAGGATCTAAGAAAATGGCCACTTCATCATCTGAGCAGAACAAAAAACGATAAATTAAGAGTAATTTACTGAAACAAAAATTGTTCATTCCTTATGGCTGAACAGACGACTGTTTAATGATACTTTGTTCTCTTTGAAATTCAGTATTGCACTGCATGTGATGCAATGTACATGTACATGTAAGTTCAATACCCATCCATTCGATGCGTCAAAAGCCACAATGGAAACAGGCATAATTATATCAGAAACTTGGAGATGCATTCTCTGTGCTATTTCTCTGAGTATTTTTTTTTTCAATTGTTATTTGCCTAGCTATGTAAATATTGTTTACTTTTGAATGAGACATTGAATGAAAAAAAAATTAGTTATTGAATTATTTCTTCACAAAATTTGATTTATTGGCTGCTAGACAATAATTCTTAATAATAAGTCGCTTGCAGGAAAGAATTATTGCGCGCAATATGAAATTCCTTTTCAGAGGGTTGCAAAAATCAGAATAAATTATATAGTACTTTTGTTGTTAAAACTCGTTAAAACTTCCTTAGGCAAAAACAAAAAATCCATTTTTAAAGTGTGGGGGTACATGTAAGTCGTATGCAACTAAGGTGAAGGGTACATGTTCACTTACACACGTACACGTATCTGAATTGATTTTGTGTCAAGTGCGTGCATGTTTTATTAAGTAAAGTGTGAATGGCCCCCAGATGCCATCATTACGTTCACATCACTCCACTCTGTTAAACAAAACAGTACTTATGCCCCTGACATGTCTGATGGCATGGGAAAGTCCAAGTCATGTACATTTCCATGGATGTACGAGTGTATTCTGAGTCTGCAACAATATCTGATATACCGTATGTGTGGAGAGCAAACTAACACGACCCCACACGCCAGTCAATCAGAGTCCACTTCAGAAATTGTGACGTCATTTCATGCAGAAATGTCATTTTGCTGCCATTTTTTGTAAGACATGTACAACGGGGTTACCTAAGGCCCAATAGAAGGTGCCTGCTGAATGGTCAGAATCTGGAGGTCAGGTGGTTAATGATGCTTTGTATAATTAACCTCCGCATCTGCATGCATCTGCATGCAAATCATGGCGCTTGTGTGCAAGCGGATATTCCATAGTCTGGTATAAGTGCAGCCGGAGTTTCAATGTTATCCTGCTGGGGTTTATCCCCCCCCCCCCAAAAAAAAAAAAAAAAAATCTTAGAATTAGAACTACAGTACACTTGACAGTTTTTTATTGTTCGAATGTCTAAAGACAATTTTTAGAAAACCATGAGCAAAGTTAAGGCAGTGGTACTACAAATAACTTTATTTGTAGTACCACTGCCTGAACAATTTTGGACAGCTCAGTGACCCAAATGCAGCATCTACAGCATGCCACAACAGAAGGGTGTAAAAACAAGTACATGTGTACAGACAATGTTTGCCACCATTATTACATGTATGTATGCTCTGGCTCCGAGTTGTCTGTTATCACAGCTGACATGAACAAATAAAAACAATGGTGAATATCAATCATGGCTTGAGGCTGCTGTAGATATGTAGAGCTCTTTGAGTTGTAAGGACTTTGATGGAATGAAGGGTGCAACCTGTCAGATAGTAAACAAAATCTTGCAAAATAAAAAAACTGGGCTCCTTCTTCATGCCCAACAAAAATCTCAAGAATTTCCTGAATCATGTTTAAGGTCTAATTACACAAATTATATTGTTACTCTCATTGTGTGGTACATGTCAGTAATCGTTTTCCTCAACCCAGGCGATATTTGTAGCCTAACTAGGGTTGTTTGTTAAATTTGCCATTTGAGTTTAAATGGCAACATTTTGATGTACATGTAAATTGCAGCACATTCAGCATAACAGCCTACAGTACTATAGTACTATTACCAAAAAATCTACGATAACCCATATTGTACCAATTTTATAGGCCCCATTAGCAAGAGTAATGGGCTCTGTGCACAAGTACCCATCAACGGCCAGAGCAGGAGAGTTGGGGGTGACCTAGAGCGAATTTAAGAGGTAAAAACGTGCCCTCTTTTGTTGGCGCACGGAGGCCATAGTGATGATATAAGGTCTTGAGCAAAAAAATGATGGCTACATGTATCCTTGCACGTGCGTATACATGTATTTTCGTTATTAGGCGAGGTAAAAAGAACATCTGATCATCCCCGCCTGCATCCTTTTTTGAAGCAGCATCCTTATTTGTTTATTTCTTTCTCACCTCTAAAAGCTGACTTTATCTTGAATTCTGCTTTATAATAAAATACATAGAACAATTAGGAAAGCTAATTAAAAGCTATAAGATTTGAGGCTTTACATGGTGGGGTATCGGTATCGTTTCGGTTTTGCGGTAACACCATGTGGTAATAACTACTGCTTAGAAGATATTAGTTCTGAGAAGAACTTGTCCTGCTTATTATCAACTTGCTAAGTAGTTTTTTTGTTCTGTTTAGAACAGTCCTGCTGTAAGTTCTAAAAGAACTTGTCTTTGGTCTCAACGTTTCGACTAGCCTGCTCTAGTCATCGAGACTGACGATGACTAGAGCAGGCTAGTCGAAACGTTGAGACCAAAGACAAGTTCTTTTAGAACTTACAGCAGGACTGTTCTAAACAGAACAAAAAAACTACTTAGCAAGTTGATAATAAGCAGGACAAGTTCTTCTCAGAACTAATATCTTCTAAGCAGTAGTTATTACCACATGGTGTTACCGCAAAACCGAAACGATACTAATTAAAAGCTGGCAGTCGTTTAAAACCAAACTTGGTGGCCATTTTGAACTCAAATACTTGGCGGCTATTTTGAAAGAAAAATATATAAAACAAGTCAGGTGTGTTTACAAACACAAATGCCCCGCAACCGTGACTGTTCCCATGACAAAACACCACTCTTTTAACATCAACTTACATGTATCTTGGTCACATGGAACGTTCATTGACAGCATTAGTGTCTTCTGTAGGTTTTATATGAATTAATCCCTAATCCCTATGATCTTAGAATAAATACAAGATTTCTATTGTTTTAGCCACTGTGACCTTGACCCTTGACCTTTCGATCCCCAATGCGATAGGCCTATTTGGATTACCAAGAATGATTCACAAACCAAATTTGAAGTTCACATGTAAAGTATTTCTCAAGTTATTGCGCAGACAAAATTTCTTTTGTTTTAGCCACTGTGACCTTGACCCTTGACCTTTTGGCCCCAAATGCAATATGCTTCTTAGGATTGCCAAGGACAATCCACAAACCAAATTTGAAGTTCATATATGTAAAGTATATCTCAAGTTATCACAATGACAAAATTTCTTTTGTTTTAGCCACTGTGACCTTGCCCTTGACCTTTTGCCCCAAATGCAAAAGGCTTCTTAGGATTGCCAAGGACAATCCACAAACCAAATTTGAAGTTCATATGTAAAGACTAAAGTATTTCTCAAGTTATCGCGCTGACAACATTTCTATTGTTTTAGCCACTGTGACCTTGCCCTTGACCTTTTGCCCCAAATGCAAAAGGCTTCTTAGGATTGCCAAGGACAATCCACAAACCAAATTTGAAGTTCATATGTAAAGTATTTCTCAAGTTATCGCGCTGACAAAATTTCTATTGTTTCAGCCACTGTGACCTTGACCCTTGACCTTTTGGCCCCAAATGCAATGGGCTTCTTAGGATTGCCAAGGACAATCCACAAACCAAATTTGAAGTTCATATGTAAAGTATATCTCAAGTTATCACAATGACAAAATTTCTTTTGTTTTAGCCACTGTGACCTTGAACCTTTACCTTTTGGCACCAAATGCAAAAGGCTTCTTAGGATTGCCAAGGACAATCCACAAACCAAATTTGAAGTTCATATGTAAAGTATTTCTCAAGTTATCTCGCTGACAAAATTTCTGTTGTTTTAGTCACTGTGACCTTGACCCTTGACCTTTCGGCCCCAAATGCAAAAGGCTTCTTAGGATTACCAAGAACAATACACAAACCAAATTTGAAGTTCATATGTTAAGTATTTCTCAAGTTATCGCGCTGACAAGATTTGTCCGGACACACACACACACCCACCCACCTACACACCCACCCACCCACCCACGGAAGGACAAGGCGGAAACAGTGTGCCCCTTCGGCTTCGCCGCGGGGCATAAAAATACAAAGGCACACATCCTCTTCCTTTTGAAAAAACCCGGACGATCAACTATTTTTTTTTAAAAGAAAGTTTACATAAAATTCATGCAAATGGTCTCATCATAGGCTTTAAACAAAATATTAAGATTTCTTCCTTTTCATGCTTTTGAAAAAACCCGGACGATCAACTGGTTTTTTTTTTAAGAAAGTTTACATAAAATACATGCAAATGGTCTCATCATAGGCTTTAAACAAAATATTAAGATTTACAAATGTATGCACAGGATGATTCCCTATGCAAGCTTTAACAATATCATTTAATTTACAGAATATGACAAATCAAAGAATTTTCAATCTTTGTTGAAATGTAGTGTTAGAACTTCAAAATTGACAATCTTTGTTGAATTGTGATGTTACTTGTTAGAATTCAATCTCACCACGGCTAAGCTTGATACACTGTGTCACTTCCGGACTGACAAATGCCACTTTGCCAGCAAGGTCCTTGAACTTGTCATACTCAAAATATCTGTGAAAGAAAGAGACATTTTTAAGGGAATTTATTGGGAATTTATTGGTTGGAAACTTCATTTGACTTTTTGTCAGAAAGTGCAAGAAAAGCAATTTTCAGGAAATATGTAGGTATAAATGTTCTTAATAACATCTGCATTTTTTTATTAAAATGCTTTGAATGCATGAAAAATACACAATGAAATGACGGATTGAACTAAAACTAGAGAATATATGATCATTAATTCAGCATGTGTTGAAGTATTCATGATACATTTAATTACAAAAATGCATATTCATGAAAAATTAAATATTCATGATGGGGTACTGTAATGTTATTGTTATTGGCTCAAATGCCAAACATGCCAAAAAGGGCCTCCTCTTTCCTTTCTTTCAAAAAGGCACGACGCTAAACATGTTTTGTTTGGGGGGGGGGCAATATTAGATAAGTCACACAAAAATAGTCTACAGATTTAGCCTATACTCAGCCTAGGCTATACTAGTATCAACCTCGTCCCCAGGGTGTCGAGCAGTACGCACCCACCACTAGCTGCTCTCTCACCCTGGTATTTGATCATTTGCATATGTGCAAGATTTTTGAACACGTATTCAAATGAGGAATAGTCTGGTGTCTGCCTGTGCGTTACATTTGCGTTTGTTTATGTATGCGGTGTCTGGGGTAAAACCAGAATCAATTTGTCGCAGCGCGTGCATGGCGTGAGTTATGAAAGCACTATTTTATTTTAATTAAACTGTTACGATCTTAACGAGACAACATGCAGTAGCATATGTCAATCAAAATTAACAAATTGGAAAGGAAATAAATATTTTCGAGAAGGCGTGGGCGGATGATCGCGAAAACACGTATAGCTGGACTCCCTATTATCGCGGCATCCCTATTATCGCGGCATGGGAAACTGCTCTTTTTGCATTGCCAAAACTCCTCCAAGTGGCGATTTTTATCCAGTTCACCAGTCATCAAGGATTTTCTACTGAGTTGTATTAAAAGGACGATTAAAAAATGTTGTGTCTTTCAGGACATTTAACGATTTTAATAAATATTACCTTTTTCCAAAACTTGCAAAATTTTCCCTCACCGTGTCTGCTAAAAGGTGCCGTTTATATTTTAACATTAATCTTTAATTGTGCTCTGTCCATGAAAGTTCCATTGTCAGGTTCCCATTCTTCAGCTGCAAATGTAAAATGAAGTCGAACGACGATATTTGCAGCGCGCAATCGTATTCGTAACAACATTTACGGGATCAAAATAAGCACCGCGCGTTAGCGGAAATAAAGCGGCACACAGTGTAAAGTGAATGGTGCCCTCAATCGCCGATCAGTAGACTTGCCTCAGGGATTTGCGTTCTTCTTACGGGGGAAGGGCAGGGTCTTAAGAAATCATCCTGTAGAAATATAGTCTTTAATCAACTTGAACATTACAGGGAAAATATCTGACTTTAATCAGGGGATGTTTTGGTCAAACATTAATATGAATAAAAAAGTTTGGATCGTTATAAACACCACTTCCCACATACCGCGATAATAGAGAGTCCACCTCCGTTCGCACACTCCTCGCATGCCTATTTTCACAGGCATCGTACACGGAATAAACCACACCACCGTAGGATTTTTTTATATTAATTTAAAAAGGAAGAGTTATACAACCTAAGAGACAGGACAATTCGGGAAGGTTAGTGAGCAATCACTCTTCCGAATGAGAAACGTGATAAATACCGCGATAATAGGGCAACCCATCCTACTGCACGTTGTAAATATTAACAACACAAAGACGTACACGATATAAATCCATTTCTGGCCAATTGCAGTATCGAATCAGGATACAAGAAGAAAGTTTTCTATCCAGGGCTTACTATTGGAAACGAGGTTGGAAATAAAGTAAGCACTGGGGACGAGGTTGATTACTAGTATAGATTGTTTTGACAAAATTAACTTTTCACGTAACTGGTGAAGCATGTGAACACATGGTGAAGAATCAGAATATCAATCACGACGGAAGTTACTTTCAGACCGTGTGCAGGCAGTGATACCTTTTCAAAAGATACTTACTCGAAAGCAAAGCTGATCAGTTTGTCGTTAAGCCACCGTGGTCCATCAAGCAATTGTAAATCGCTATTTCTCAGCAGAGTATCATGGTAACTCAAAACTTTCTGCTCCGAACTCGCCGCCATTACACTCCCAAGATTGTTGATGAATAGTCCGACAAAGGAGGGCGCTATAATCTGTGTCGTTATGTGGCGCTTGTTTCCTTGCTAGGAATGCATGCATTTATTTAGTACTCATCACGACACTGGACTATTGATCTGGAAGTTTGTTTTTGAAAATGTCGCCTTCTGGTTTCTTGGTTAGTGTCTGAAACTTTTTTCCGAAAAAAGGATAATAGGACGAGTACGTTGTGGTCATTAAACCGGTTAGAAGTCAGCTCATTAGGCCTCGTGAGGTATTTTTAATGTAATTGTTCAGCTAAAAATGGGACAAGATACTATTACTATGCTTTAATTAATTTCCAAAGCACCAAGGCGTGAACAAATATGGCTCTTTTGAACGGATGGGTTGAACAAGATCCTTGATTACATGAATGTAAAAGTTTCTGCAAATATTTTATTCCAACACAAAATTGCATGAAGTTCAGTCAGTAGCCTATGTCACCCCCCCCCCTTCCCTGGCTTTTCAAAGCTGTCCGTCCCCCCCCCCCCCCACCCACCCAACCCCCATCTGACAAGAAATCACTGCTGCTGGCGTTGTCGGCGGTACGTGATTCTCTGTGCGCATGTACCCCTTCGTCTCTAGGATAGGAGCCTGCCAATCTCCATTAAGCCTATCAATTTCTAAACAATTTGCATGTTGAAGTTGTTTGTTATCCCCAGGGACCTAGGCTTTACACTGCATCGTGTCATTATTAGTCATCGTTACAATTCAACCTCAGATGGGTAGAAGTACTGAAGCCTAAGTGGTTATGAGGAAACAAATCCCAAAAATGCTTACTGATGAGACGGCCATCAGCGTCGTTGCAAGGAGGCAAATTATTGTTCAGCGAAGTTGTCTGGTTGGCCGGCTCGGATGGCCAAAGGGGAAGATTTTCTCTACAGCTCAGGTGATGAACTACCCACAGGGATACCACTAAGGTGCCATGATTGTTTATGGCGCGGCACGCAGCCTGTCTGATAGGCGGCTTGACAAAAAGTGATGAGACTTATCTTCATGCCAATTTCATACACGTACACGCACGGCGTCGGTGCTGAGCTGTCAATTTTGCTCAACGCAGATCGGAGGAAATAGAAAATGCTTATAATTATTATAGGCCTAGCCACCCACCAAAAATCAAGTCCCGTCTGTTACACTCTTGTAACCAAATCACAATCATACCAAAGTCTAAAGATAGAAATAACATAATAATGTAAAAACAGTTCAACGTTTCTCTAACTTTTTTCTTTTAAAAGCTACATTTTTTCTTCATTTTTCTCCGACGTTTTTAACCCTCTGAAAATTTCATGGTTGCTTTAGCGACCATATATAGGGCCTAACGCACACAAAAAAGATACGCCTAAATTATACACGGGCCGCAAACAACGGCGGATCCCGGGGGCAACGTGGGTCATGCCCCCCCCCCCCCCCCCCCCCCGCTAATTTAAATGTTCCTACGGTGCGTCTTAAGACGAACTGTTGGTAAGGCCTTCTTTCGTTGATTACTTCAAAATGACAGCTTGCCAGAAAGAACATTTTCACAGGGAGTTTAGTCCACTTACTATCTTTCAACCAAGTATGTTTTTCAACAATAATTACGCCAGTTACTTTTCGGATGGCTGCAAATGATGGACTATAGCTTTAAAAGTTAATAACGTTTGTATTGCTAGAAAAATCGCACGTAAAATATCAATTTTTCTCAAATAGCACGAGAAAGCAAGTTAACAACGTCAGTTTTGTTTTAGAATTTTGTGTAATGTTAATTTTACACGCACAGCGGTCTCCTCCGGCGATTCGTAGATGATTTCGTTTTCTAAAACTTATTTTGAAATTATGATTTGTGACTGATGTAAGTGTAGATATTGATCATTAATGTTCGTTTTCCAACAAGTATGTGAATATTAATTATATACAAATTGATAGACACGGGTATATAATGGCGTCGCCCCTCTGATAATTAAAGGCATCAATGCATCACAACAAATCCCTGTACTATTTTAGAGTTCAGTAATAAACTAAGGTTGGCTCCGGGCACAATCCATATCCGACTCGAGTGCCGGAAGAATTCGCCTTTTTAGTTGAGGAAATTTACCATGAAGGGTAAGTATTCAACCGGGATCAGTTTTTGTGCGGATGAATTGAAGACCATTAACCATGCATAAGAATAAATATTCCCCTTCCAATATTTCAAAGACGATAATAAGACGATATATCTATCAGCAGCAGCGGTGTCAGTATTGCCTTGAGCTAGAGAGTTTGGAAGTGTCCCATGCACAAATTCCTGCTAAACGGCGATACCCGACAACTATACCCTCCAACGTTCTGCTTAATTAAACCAGAGTCGATTCCTTCGATTCCTTTTGGCCTTCGCCTTCTTCAGCCGATATATCCGATTTCAGCTGGATGAATTCACGGTGTATTTGTGATTGAGATGGTCAGGTTTCACGGACCGTGAGAGGGAAAGACAGCTTAAGTGATTATTTCGAGTACTTGTTAAATTCCTTGAAACTTCCGCTTAAAGTCGCGTCATATGGATGTCCAAAACATATTGCGTATTTACGAAGAGTGCCAGATGAGAGGGGATTTATTTTATCGTCAAACAGTACAATTCAGGCTAGTGCTATAGTATTCATATTATTGTTATCCAACCTTTCTTCCTAGAATTATTCCCATCATGCAATCCCGTCAACATCGTATACCGGAAAAAGTTTTGAGAAAAATCCAAGGTTGTTTCGCATGATCCTACCCAAAACTTAATGATTTGATTATTTTAACATATATATATTATGTTGGCCTGCCGTGTTAATCTATTGGATTTTTTTCAACACTTCCTGACGCAGTGAAAGAACCTTGAATGTTCTAGACCACAATTTCAGTTTCAGGCCAGGCAAGAACTCAGTTCAATTTGTCGTATACAGATCACGTTAATCTTACGATACACTCAAACTTTAATTTAAAATGGCACTGAAAGGTCATTGCTCGTTTTGTCGAATGCAAAGAAAAAAACGAAGAAAGAAAAAAATATTCTCTTTACAACTTTCACTTTGTAAGCGATACAATCACGAGTCGCCACTTCATTTTGGATTCATTTTCTCCATGTAATGTCCTGCATTTTTGGTTCGAAATCCACTTGATGTAGCACCCCGCGAAAGCATTGCAATTAATTCGAAATTGAAACCCCGGCTGCGAGTGTACGTCAAGTGTTTTCATCACTTTGGCGACCATGGTTTAGACAATCGCTCAGAATGAGATCTTCCAGTTCGCTATTTGGTCGCCGTGCTTGACAAGCCTCAAGTGTGCATTACTTTTTCTTCTACAACTTGCAATTTTCTGCTCAATCGCTTTGTGAAAATTCAGTGACCTTTTGAGTAAAACTGTTCTTTTTTCCCACAAGTGCCCACATGGCATTTTAGAGCATTCTGTCTTCCCAAATAAGCGTTGTATCATCCACTGACATTAAAATGTCAAGTAGGCCTTGTAGTCCGCTATCGCGCATGTCTGCAGTTATATATCATCACCTGGTTGCTACCTGTTAGTCTAAAAGTATAAAGTTAGAACTAATATTAAACAATAATTGAACTGACAACGAGCGCTGTCTCAACGATAATGGTAAGTCTACTCTACGTTTGAAACACCCATGATATTGGTTATTATTGCCAATAGCCAATTGCAAGAGTTAAAATAAAACTATTTGGTATGATTGTTGCTGAGAATTCCTTTTGGTGCGTGTAGAATTGTCAATAAGCACTTCTATCTATTATAGTCTAAATGCACACGTTAACATGATTTTGCTAAATCTCCAGTACTGTTTTTACTGTTGTGTGTTTTCTAATGTCCTTTAAGTTTGGAAATGATATGGTACGTTGTGTGTGACATCTATTATAATTTGTTTTTAAAAAATCTCTGCTTCTGTTCATCTCTATGAATCCTCTAACTCTTCAACCACCTTCAAATTCAATCATTCCAGGCATTTCCATCTATTTAATTGTTCAAATAATTCTTCACCGGATGTTCGGGCTTGATCCCGTTCGCAGTTCCGCTTTAGATCATGCGCTTACTGCGTGCGAAGTAGTACTAATGCAAAATGGGTCAACAACGGTGCGATTTTGTGCAAACACCGCGATGATATCTTGTGTTTTGCTCTTAGCGCCCGAACGCGCCGGCGCCAGTCGCTCCTCCATCCCTGCTCTGGCGTGGTACACATGGTATCGTAGGGATATCACTCAACTCGTTTGCTGGAGTATTGAAAAAGCCCCAAGATAAGACCTGTAAATGGAGTACCTTTGCAGCAGAGGAGTGTCCGTGCGGAACTCGTAGATAGTGTGCACTGGCATGGTAAATACCTCACGGCTGGACGAGGAGTGGGGGAGCAAAGTGTTACGCGCACCGTCTATATGCAGTATAAGGTAGGTGATCGACCCGTATTATAGTGCCCGTTGTTTGTCCTTTCAAATGGCTGCCATTGAGAAACGGAAGAGCGAGAAAAACAAGAAGTGGCCGTTGACTTCTAATAACCTTGGAGAGCTGTTAACAAGACGAGTGATATTTTCTGTATTTTTATATCCCTTTCCCGTCTTAATTGTGAGAGAAAGAGCAGCCTTCGAGAGGGTTCTCAAACGTTGTTATTTTTAGTTCAAATTGAAAAGGCTAAAACTAAATGCCCTTGCCCTTCCAAGAAATTTGCCTCGAGCAGTTCTGATTGGCCGACAGGAAAGTGTTTGCATTGATCCTTTAAAATGTTCGTTTACAATCAAATTTGTTTCTACTTTCTTTTTTTCCAACCTACTCGTTGATGACGTATAATATCGTCACAAAACAAGGTTTTCCAATACTTCGTGCATGATATTTACATTTTACTCGTTGTAAACTTTAATGTGCATTTTTGCAAACTTTGTACAGCGACTGTGACGCCAAAAGTGCTTTGGTTTGTCTGACCACATCCAGCATACGACATTAGCATGATTGACAACAGCATAGATGCCATAAGTGCTCTTCCATGGCAGACA